CCAGCATAGGATAAGGAAGGAGTTCCTAACATGAGTTGTCTGAGAATGGAAGTGCTGATGGCTGGAGTTCCTTGGAGCAGCAGGTGGTGAACTCTGTATTACTAGAGGCTTTTGGATAAGGCTCAATTGAGACATCTTGGAAGAGGTTTCTTTAGTGTATGGGAACTTGAAATAGATTCCTTCCTCATCCTTTATTGCTATGGTCTCTATGTTTTGGTGATGAAAGGTTTTTTTGTGTGTCCATGAATATAGCAAGATTTTGATTCCTATCTATTCTCTAGAGGAAAGGAGCCCTCTGCACACCCTAAAACACAGCTTCTTAAGCTGTGGGTCACAACCCCATATAGGATCACATATGGAGGGGTTGAAAAAAAATATGGCAGTAGTAAAGGATTCTGAACGTACAACAGCCAAAAATGAATTCAAAATCAAATGCATAATGGCTCTGAGATCATTATACGTTTAGCAGTACTTGCTGGTGTTGAGTCCTGTGAGTTCATTGCTGCCTTGATTCTGAATATACATGTCCACTTTGCACAGTCCATACAACACCAACAAATGCTACTGGAAATTCCTAGGTTCAGATTCAAGACTACTGTATGTTATGAGCTGTGGTGTTTTTACTGCACATATAGAGTTTTCTGCTCTGACAGAAACATAAAGGTTTAATTTTTGAAAAAAGGGACTTTCAATATTTTGCTACCATCACTCCCCAGCATGTAAGATTAAAATTAGTGTTTCTTTAGATGTTCTAGACTGTTTGGTTTCAAAAATTGCTGTTTGAGGGACCAAGGAGATGGTTCAATGGGTAAAATGCTCCCAGCACAAGCATGAAGACTTAAATTTGGATCCCTAGCACCAGGTAGGCGTGGCAGACCACTTGCCATCCAGTACTCATGAGGTGGGACAGGGATCCTTGGAGCAAGTTGACTGGCTAGACCAGCTGAATTGGTCAGCTGTGCTCAAATCAGAGACCCTGGCTTAGTATATAAAGTGGAGAATGATTGAGGAAGATACCCAAAGTCTACCTCTGTCCTCCACATATACCTGCACATATATATACATGCTCCCACACATGTGAACATGCATCCACACATGCATATACATCAGAAACATACAAAAACTGCTGTTTGAGCTTCTGACTGGAGTTTCATTAACTAAAATCAATTTTGGTTTGGGACTAGGACAAAATTTCCGACAATTTATGAAATGTCCCTAAGCACACTTCTGCCATTTTATACTACATATTTACGCAAAATGTTATTCTCAGTATTAGTGATCATAAAATGTTTAAAAAGTATGTTTTAAGAAGGTCACTGGAGGAGAGCTTTGAGAGTTCACAGCCTTGCCCCGCTTCCAACTTGCTCTCTCTGCTTCCTATAAGTGATTGAAGATGCGAGTGCTCAGCTTCCTGCTCCAGCCACCTCTACATCATGCCTCCCCACCATGATGGACTCTTATCCCTTTGGACCTGTAAGCCCAAATAAACTTTTTCTTCTATAAGTTGCTCATGGTGTTTTATCATAGCAACAGAAAAGTAACTAATACAGTAGCCAAGGCTGACTTTGAACTCATGATCCCCTTGCCTCTACCTCCCATGTGCTCGATCTTAAAATAAAAGGCATGTAATCGATCTTAAAATAAAAGTTTTGATCAACTTTGAAAAACATTAGTGATAATATCCTGTAGTATAAAATATAAGAAAATAAGCACCCCATCTCACTAGTATGTACATTTACTTTCATTTTAATAAATGGTAAAGTTATGTATACACCAAAGAATTATTTCAACATAGCTTCTTTGTTATTTGTTATCACTAAATGTTTATTTGTACACCTGTATACGCTAGTGTTCTAGCTTGCTTTCTGTTGCTATGATAAAAATATTGACTAAAACCAATTCGGAGAGCAAAGGTTTATTTATCTAACAATTTCCTTTTGACAATAAACTGTCAAGGAAGGCCAAGGCAGGAACCTAGGGGCAGGAATGGAAACAGAGACCACAGAGGAATGTTGTTTACTGGCATGCCTCCTTTGGCTTGGTCAACTACCTATCTCATATAGCCAAGGCCCACCTGTCCAAGGATGGCATAGCCCATGGTGGGCTGGGTCCTCCTGCATCAACCAACAATCAAGAAAATGCTCCATAGACATACCCACAGGCCAATCTGATAGTCGTAATTCCCCAATTGAGGCTCCTCCCTCCTGGATGTCTCCAGTTTGTGTCAAGTTGACAAAAACTAAGAAATTGTGTAAAATTTCCCAGGTGAAAAGGGGTCAGAAGTGGTAAAAGTTAAAGAAGCTCTGACTTAATATATACACGTTTCATGCCCAAAACCCATGCACATGGGCTTTGATGTTAGTTGGAGTAGTGTGATCTGGCATGGTGTACTAAGGTGTGGTGAGAGGTAGGCCTAGGTATCTGCCAAGGTGTAATTTGACATGCACATTCTTGTGTGTTTGATTTGATGGACTACGTTATAGGGTTGTACTGTGTGCTGTGGTGTGGTGCTGTAGTGTGGTTCTGTGGTGTTATGGTGTGATGTGATGCTATAGTTTGGTGCTGTGTAATGGTGCTATGGTGTAGTACTGTGGTATGGTGTGGTGCTGTATTGTTGTGGTGTGGTATGGTATGTTTATTGTATGGTGTTATGGTGTAGTTCTGTGGTGTGGTGCTGTGATATGGTACTGTGGTGTGATGGTATGGTGTGGTGCTGAGATGGGGTATGGTTCTGTTTTGTTGTAGCACTGTGGTATGGTGCTGTGGTGTGGTACTGTGAGGGTGTTATGGTGCAGCATATTGTGACATGAATAGAACCAAGTCTTGTCTTCTAAGGCTAGGCAGCTCTGTTGGAACAGTGACCAAGTGATATTGCGGCAATTTTGGCTGTCAAGATGAAATGTCAATTTAGTGATTTCCTTGGCCAGCCATGCTGGCTGCATATTTTACAAGAAAGTGGGTCTTTTGTGCCACCCTGTAGCTGTTCTGTGGAATAATTTAGAAGCTATGGTGTTTTATGTCATAACAAAGTGAAGGTCAACACAGTAAGTTTCACCCAACCCATCCCACCAATCTGTAACTATAGGCCAGAGTTAGGCCTCAAACTGAACACATTATAGTTTTAATTGCATTTTAAATGTTTCTTCTATAAAATGAATCATACACATGCTCCAGTTCTGGTAGGAGAAAACTATAGTTTTAAAACATGTCCATGGTGTAAAGGGGGGTGTGGACTACAAGGCAAATTAGTCTCAAACACTGCACCAATATGCTCTAGCAACTTCCAAGAGGAGCCGAACTTGGCAAAGGACTATAGGTTCGGGAACATTAGTACATGGTTTCATTTGCATGTTTTTATAACATGAAGCTGTTTCTGACACAATGTGTCCAGAAGCTCTGGGTATTGAGCTGGTTATTCTAGCTCTGGGTATTCCTTCTGTTTTGTTTTGTTTTGGTTTGGTTTGGTTTTTGGTCTTAGCACCCTTTTCTAATAGAGAATTTCTTCTCAATAAAATTAATCCTTGACCCTCATTAATTCTATGAGCAGATTTACTGAAAAGCCACTATTTTGTTTTGGTTGGAATTGGTTAAAGAGCTCTAAGTGTTTCAGAGGAAAATCTTTGATTAATTCCCTTTGAAAAAGCTGATGTTAGGAAAAAGACATTGGTGTTGACCTTGGAAGATGGTAGCACAGAATGTCAATATGATATCCTGGAAGATGATCTGAAGGTAGGATTCCCAGGGACAAGAGAAGAGATGGGGGACAGTGAACAAAACAGGAAGAGAATGAGGACAGAGCTTGAGTTCCTAGCACTTTATTTGCCAACCTTTGATCTCATTGCTATCACGGAGTTCAAAGGGAATTGTGCTCAGCTCACAGATAGCAGTATTTTCCGAGTTCTTCAGCCTCAACTTTGCCTCCTTCAAGTTCAAACATGCTCCTTAGGATGATGCTGTCCAGTGCAAAAGGGCTGGTGAAGTCTCCTTTCTACCTCTGCTTCTCATCTTTGCCCACATCCCTGGCCACCACTGTCACTTGGCTGAATCATGTCTGCTATGCTCTGAATATGAAATGTCCACCTAAAAGACTCATATATTGGGGACATGGCCTCAGGCTGGTAGTCTTTTACTGGAGTAGTGACAAAATGGTATTGGAGTCATTTGGGTTTTCAAGATGAAATGTTAATTTAGTATTTTCGGAGGTTCTGGAAACTTAGGAGGCAGAATCTAGCTGTAGGAAGTAGCTCCCTGGGGGCTTCTTGTCCCTGGCTTCCACTCTCTCCCTCCCTCCCTCCCTCCCTCCCTTCCTTCCTTCCTGCCACTATAGCCTTCCCACGCACATGAAGCCAAGCAATCATGGATTGGTGCTCTGATACTATAAGACAAAATAAATCTTTCTTCCTTTTATGTTGTTTATGTCAGATATTTTAATGAGAGGAGCACAAAATGGCTTATACAGTTTTGGAGTGTCATATTTAAGGAGAAACATCCTGGCTATCAATGATATGCTGAGAATAGGAAATAGTGTGACTGTTGATTGCCCTGTAGCCTGTAGCCTTGGCTCCAGGTGACCAGCCTCTACTCCATGCCTTTCTATACAGGAACTGATATAAAGCTAATAGACATCATGAGATTTTGCCCTCTAAGGAAGAAAGTTGGAGAGGAAATGCCACTTGCTTTTCTGTTTGAGTCCTCCTGGCTGTCCTAAAGATCTTTAATTGGATGGGTTCTGCATCATCATTTATAGCTGATATTTCCTAGTTACTCAGTGGTATAACTAAAAGGAAAGTTTGTTTCCTACTGCAAGGACTACCTAATGCTTTATCAAGGACATTGAGAATGACCAAATTATTATCTATGTGTTTGCAGACAGTTTTATCACCTCGGTTTCCCTAAATACATTTGCTATGTTAAAATGCATTCTGCTCAATACCCTACCCCAGAAGAGCTGCCTTCCTGCAGGTGGCCTGCCTCCCTCCATCCACCTGCCCCACCAGCCACCCCTCACATCACAGAACACTTCTGTTCTGCTGACTGCTTGATTTCTGTGAAGGTGGCTTGTGCCTTTTCTTTTATAGTATCTAAGTCCATGTTCTGGAGATTCTGCAACTGCCCAAGAATAGAATCCTTATCCTCTTCCTCCTCTTGATCTTCATCTACCATCTTCTGGAGATCTTCTGGCAAATCCACATCATCTCTAGCCAACTGAATTTGTGTCACATCCATTTCACTCTAGGTAAAAAATAAGAAAAAAAATACACAGAGAAATAACCCTAAAATTAGCCAACTACTTGAATAAATATAAAAGCAGTATGAAAACAAAGATCTGCCAAGAACAAATGAAGTGAACATCATGTTTGGCTGTTTTGCAGTGGCCTATGGTCCTGGAGGCAGTGGAAGAGGCTGCAGTTCCCTGGTGGAAGGCTTATCCCTCCATGTATCTTGTGCTAATCAGAGCTTTTAAAAGGACAGAGTTCAGCGGTTTTCTAGCTGTGCTCCCTGAACAAGCTGCATTAGCATCATCTAGGAACCCATTAGAAACACAAATTCTATGATCTCACCCCAGACCTCCTTGATCAGAAACTCTGGCAATGGGACCCAGAAACTTGGGTGTTAAGAAGCCTTCTCATGGGATCTGGAGAGATGGCTCAATGGTTAAGAGCACTGGCTGCTCTTCTAGAGGACGTGAGTTTGGATCCCAGCACCCTCGTTGGACAGTTCACAACTGCCTGTAACTCCAGCTCCAGGGGATCCAATGTCCTCTTCTGGCCTCTGTGGGCACTGCACTCACAAGCACATACCTACACACAGACACAGACACAAACACAAATAAAAAATCAAAAAGAAGCCTTCCCTTGATGTACACATAAGCTGGAGACTCATCCCAATTCCTTTTTATTGCAGTATTTTAAGTTTTATAGAGCCTGTCAACCCCATGCCATGACTCATGGGTCTTGTTGACCCCAGTCTAGAGAATGGCATTTGAATTGGCAGTGACCACAGAAGACTCTATCATTCCACTGTTTATATTTTAAAGACAACTTCTGCTTAACAATCGCCCCTCCTTCTTTTCTGCTGGACAAGGGGCACAGAATCATGTCTAACCTGACCTTAGTCTCTTAATGCCTAGAGACCACTGTGGCACACAGCATATGTATGCTAAAGGAAGGACCCATGTTATGGTTCCTAGCTGGTGCTCTGTATAGCTGGCTCTATTTTCAAGGTGGCTGACACTTCATTTTAGATTCTAGTCCTGGCTGACTCCAAATTTCCTACTATACTCTGACTGGTGTTTGTGATTCTTGCATGCCTTATGCTATAGAGTTCTTTGTAATGGGAAAAAAACTAAAGCAGAAAAAGTTTTCCTGGGCAAGGTTCATAGTTGCTGGCATCCCCAGTCCCTAGATGACAACTCTCAGACCAGTTTCTAGTTTGTAACAAATGGTGAACTTTGTTTCAGAGACACAGAAGGGGGTTAAAGTTATCAGAAAAGGTATGATAGAAAAGATTTATGTCAGTACCCACATCTGTAGGTTGTGATCAGCCTTACATTTGTTACCAAAGCTCATGAAATCACATCAAGGTACAATGGTCATCTTAAGCCAGGTGTGGTGGCGCATGCCTGTAACCCAGCATTTGGGAGGCAGAGGCAGGCAGGTCTCTGAGTTCAAGGCCAGCCTGGTCTACATAGTGAGTTCCAGGCCAGGTGGGGCTACAGGGAGACACTGTTTAAAAAAAAAAAAAAATTGTCGTCTTAATCTTAGGCAGCACTGATCTAACTTCAGAAAGACTTCACCATATGCTGAGTTCCTGGATAAAGTCAATATCTAAGGGAGATTGGAATGCTCCTCACCTAAGTGCTGGGTAGAAATGATCAGAAAATACATGACAGGATAATGTATACACTGTTCTCCATCTGTAAATGGGTTGGAGGAACCCGATGGCTGAGGTCTTTCCCCAGCTCTGACAGTCTTCTTAAGGTGATTCTTAGAGAGGTAGGGCCCAGGAGTCAGAAAGTGGAACTCTTGTTTATTTGGTACCTAATAGAATGACAGTGAGTCTGGCTCTAGAATGAGCTTGCTAGGTAGATGCCTTGATACTCTTGCGGGAGATGGTCCTCAACAGGTCCTGTCTATAGACTTCCAACTCAGCCTCTGAAGATGAAGTAACTTAGCCTAGCACTTGGCTGGGCCTTGGCCCCTCCCAGTGTTTAACAGATTAATTAGCTCCTCTTCAATTGTTGTGAGGGTAATTAATCCCTAGGGGCACCCAGCCAATCTTGCATTTTTATTTACCTATCCTAATGGGCTGCTTTTCTTGTAGATAATCCTCTGGGTGGTTATGCAGGAAGAGTAGGGGAAGCAGACTTCATCTGACTCTGAGTTCCTGCAAATACAGGACATCTATACTCTCCCTTGCATCCCCAAATCAGATGTAAATGATTTAAAAAGTATTCCTGGGGGGTATGGCTCCTCCCCCTTGATTGGGAGTGAGATCCCTGCACATCTCAGTAGGTTGGACCCTAGACAGAGTGCCCTTGGGAAGAGTGACCACTGTGGGCCTAGAGGTTCAAGAACTAAAGGCCTGAGGGAAGAGTATACCAGACAACCAGTGCCACAAAACACATGACCTGCTTGGTTCACAAGGGACAGGACTTTCCGAGCTCCAACTCCTTGGAAACCTTATCACATAGTCTTTCTCTGTTGTCCTGGGGCTTCCAGGAAAGCTTCTCAATGGCTTCTTTCTTCACACACAGGTCACTTACTCAGAGGAGATGGAATGCTAGGATCCACTATGCCTCACAGCTTTGGAGGGTAAGTTCAATCACCCCATTTCCACCAAAGTTTTTCTCAAAGTGGGATTCCCTATGGCAGCAGCAGTGCAGCACTGGTACCTTGTTAGAAGCGCACCCTTTCAGGACTTATACGACCTGCTGGGTTTGCTCCAGCCCTCCTGGTGGTTCTGGTGTTGCTCAAGTCTGGGACTCACCACTTTACACTTCTTGAAGATGGGCTGCATCTTGTTGAACCTTTTTCTCAGAGCCCAGCAGAGTCGTTGATGTGGGGATAGAGACTGTACCTGTTAGCTGCCTCAGTGAGCCTATGGTATGCCTGTCACCATAAAGAGCTGTTTTCACAGTTGTCCACTCATCCTTATACTCCCATTGGGAGGAGCTGACCCTGGTCAAATTCATTCCCTCAAGAGTCCAGTTGCCTGATGAGGCTATTGCTCTCTTACTTACAGGATATGTGACTAAGGACCCCTTACCCAACCTTTCATATCTTTATTTCATTTCACCTTCAGTAACTTTATTTCCTTATCTATAAATTGAGGATTGTATTATTTGCCTCTGAGTTGTGGAGGATTATCAGATGATAATTGGGTTAGAACTTGTGGAGAACTCAACCAGTGGTAGGTAGGTATTCAAACAATGGAAACCTGAAAGGGTGAGTGGAGATTTATCTGGATAATGGGGTAAGCCTTTAGGAGGCCTTGCTCTCTTGGCATTCCATCTGTGGCTTGAGATTGACTTCCACCTTCACTCCATAGGTCAGGCATTCTCAATAAGCCAGACAGTCATTTTGCTTTCAGCATGAGGTCCCTCAGTTTCAGGAGAAAGTTCTCCTGTCAGCTCAAAGCCCTGTTCCCTGTGGTACCTCAGTATCTGAGGGTGACAGAAGCACAAACACTGAAGAAGTATCGGGCTTACACACTGGCCCTCATTTCCCCTAGTTCCCACCTCCAACCAAAGCTTTTGGATCTTGGTTGATGTCCCCGCCTCTTTTCTCAGACCAGCAGCTTGAGCACTCTGTAGCACAGATATACCCATGAGGCCTCAGCAAGACTGGTGGTCCCGAGTAGCCAGAAGGAAAGAGGGTGAGGGCTTTTAGGCAGACATGTCTCTTTAGTTTTAAAGATACCTCACCTCATATGAAGGAGTGTGGCCAAGGAGGGACAGAGGACCTTGTAAAATGTGAGGCCCCAGTTTTCTAGGTCCAAAAGGATCACTGGCTGTGGTCAGAAAATTCTACAATGTTATGGACCCTCCATCGGAAGCACGGTTGCTTTGGATAGTCATGTTAGGTGTGGAAGCAACTGTCCTAGACTATAACTGTGCCTTGGATACCTTTGACTGAGGATGGGACCACCACACAGAGCAGCGAGCCACTAGAGGACATAAACCACTGGACCCAAATCTGAACTTGTGGCTTCCTTAGCACTGATCCCACCAGCAGAACTGTCTTAGAGTCAGGGTTGATCCAGTGGCCTCATTTGTAAAAGTTGTAGTCCCCAACTGTCATCCTGCTAGGTGGCCTACAGTAGGGGAAAGACTGAAGACCTGGGGTCAATCCCACATCTGTCAATCACTCTGTGGCCTTAGCTAAGTCACCTTCCATGTCTGAAGCCCAGTGGGAGGGCCACTCAGACCATGAATCAGACATGTCATAGAAGGCTTCCCAAAGCTTCCAGCCCTGGACAAAAAGGTGGCTGTGGTAATATTTCTGAGGAAAGAGGGAAGTTTTGTGCCCAGGTTTCTGCTGAAAGGGTTCCTGGGCTAGACAAAGCCTGTGAGAAAGTGAAGCAGAGGGTGGGAGAGCCCAGACCCTCCCAGGCAGCAGCCAGGGCTGAGTAAGCAATTAATGAGAGTGAGCACGATGGATGGAGCAGACACTGTAGCCTTGTTTCCACCGTTCCTAATGAACTACCATGCTGGCAGGCCCTTGTCTACCCCTCAGACAATGAGTGTCTTGTCCAGACTTTCTGCTGCCCAGTGACAAATCTGAAGTGGGAAGACTAGGAGTTTTCTGACACTCTTCCCACTCTAAGAAGAGGAGCAATAAATACTTCCTTATAGCTCCCATACACAAGAATAACTAAGATTACACTCAGTGGGAATCAGCTCCACTTGGGGTGGGGGTCAGGGGGTGGAGTGGAGGAACTGTGTTCTGGGAGGGGACTGAGAGCTGAGAGCCTGAAGCACTGGGTGAGTGAGCTAGTGTGTGATTTAAGGACTAGGGCTGCACTTGGTTCTTTGAAACTGTTTTGTTGATTTTCTCTTTTCTAGAAATAGAGGGTTTTTTCCTTTATTTTCTTCCTCACTCTCTTTCTCTTTTCCATTCTTTCTCTCTTTTGAGACAGGATCTCACCTAGCCTAGGCTTACCTTAAACTATATAGCCAAGGCTGGTTTTGAATTCCTGACCCTTCTGCCTCTACTTCCCAAATGCTGGGA